TTATTTTTAGGGGATGAGATTATGAATAATTTTTATTTTCTTTTTGCTTAGCCTTTTATTCTTTACAAGAAACACTATTTATTTTCCACTATTAAAAAAAACCCCAACATAAAAGCCACTATTTTCAGAAATCATGTGATCCTGGATATCACCACAAGTATTACTCATGTAGCATTGTGGAACGGGATGCCAAGTCTTGCTGTGTCTGGGCCCCAGAACCAGTCTGAGAATAACCATTGTAGGCAGTATTTCAGTCCTCAAGTCCTCACAAGTGGGCTCACTTAGGTAACCCCCTTCATGTTAAATCCCACTCTAGAACAAATGCTATGAGAATACTTCCGGCTCATGTAATGTGTATATGTTCCCACACCAATATGTCTCCATGTGCTTTTAATACCTTTACTATATTTAGTGGTTTACAAAAGGTTCGAAAACACTTGGATCCAAAGGTTTTAAAAAATAAAAAAATTTAGTTACTTTTCAAAATATGATTAAAAAAATAACCTGCCGCACTTGAACACAGCAGAGACTAACAAGTCGTTATTTTCTGCCATCAGGATCTCTGCTGTCATTGTGAAAACGGTTACTTTTTCATTGTATTACTATTTGAGAAGACTGTGTTTCTGTATCAGCCTTTAAAAAATGTAGAGCAACACAGAGAGTCTATGCATGCAAAATTGAACGAGGTTATACAATAATACAAAACACAACAAGGTCCAGGGACCTCTGCCCATTGCATAATCTCATCAAGGCTTAATAGTGAATTGTGCATAAAGAAATAACAGTTTATTATTGTTCTTCATTTACAGTTTAAGTACCTAGAATAAACATTATTTTTTCTCCTTATAGTTCTGCATTACAGTTTAATACTTAAAACAAGCATTACATTTTTTTCCAGTCTTTTATATGCATAAGAATGGGAACCATACTTAGACATTTCTGGTGATACAGCTTTGAAACAAAAATTTTTCTTCTTAACTCCCCTTTCAAATGCAATCTGTCTAGCAGAGTGTTCAGGCATTGACAAGCAAGCGATTCACAAATTGTTACTACATCTGAGTAAATCAGAATTTTCTGAGCAACCCAAACCCAATGAAGATATCCCATTAGCTGTAGTTAATATTATTGTAGCTGTCATTTTAAGTGCAAATGTCTATCTTAGGTTCATAAAACAGACACATTCTTTTCACTAGTTACTTTATAAACAGGTTTTGTTTAAAATATTTTCAGAATTTGGATATTTTACTCTATTACTACTGCTATCCTCTGGCCCAAAAGACCATTCCAGGACCCAGAGCCTCCTCACCTGTCTTCCTGCCCTCATCCCTTGACGGTCTGTTCTCAACACCTGTATCACGATATTTTCTGCCAACACTCTCAATGACCTCCCATGCCATTAGAATTACATAGAGTAGTGTGCAGAGTTCCATACAGATGAATGTCTCGTCTCTGTGCAGACCCCATTCCCTACCACCATGATATTCACGACAGCCACCCTGGCTCCCATAATTCCTCAAACACACCAGCCGCCTGCTCACAGCAAAGCCAGGGATTTTGCTGCTCCTTTCACCCTTGCTTTGCACCCTTGCTTCCAGAAGATCACTCATCTACTGTCATCTTCTCAACCCAGGATAACACAGGTTATTCTCAATTACAGTATCACCCCATGTTCCTTACCTCCCAGGGCTTCTATCTCCTCTTTGCACTTACTGCAATTGAAAATAAATCTTGTTTAAGCTACTAGTATTTACCAACTCTTTTCCAAGTAGCACGTAAGCTCCACAAGAGCAGAGGATTGTGTCTGTTGTGCTCACTTCTGTATCCCCAGAAGCCTAGAACAGTGCCTGGCAAAAAGAGCCAGGCAGACAATACACATTGGTTGAATGAATGTAATATTCTAAATCTGAATTCATCACAAAATTCTTATCAATAAAAGACAATGCTTATGCTGCTACAAACAAAGCCGCATAAAATTACAAGTTTTGGAGGAAAGTTTATGCATTCATTATAATTTGGAACTATTTATAGCACTCAGCATAATGCTCTAGCAGCCACACGGATGGCGCTCATCCAATGAACATTTATAGGCCACACATCCTTTTGAATTGGAATCTCTCTCCACCCATTAGTCTCTACATCTGTACCATAATGATATTCTATTTAAAGGGGGATTCGCTTTAAGAATCTTTTCATTTAGGGCTATATATTAAACTTGGCCAAACAACTTAAGGCCAGCCAAGGCTTTCCTAAAACATTCCCGACCATCTTTTTTACCACTGCCATACTCTGTGATCATAATTTTATCACATGCATCTGCTCACCCAGCCTTTTTTCCCCATACCACAGTTTCTTTCAACTGCACAATTTTTGCTACATCTTCAAGTCACATGCATCAATTGGAATAGACACTTGTGGAAATATCTAACACATAACTGCCATCCCATTGAGCTCAGTGCAACCCATATGGCTAAACCGTGGCCCATGCCTTGTGAGGCAGCCTTATCCTAGCCATTTGGACTGGCACTCGGCTTCTCTCCACAATCTCCATCTCCCTCCATTCCATACCACTTGGCATGTATGTGGTTTTAGAACAGCTCAGGCTGCACGTGAGGATGACAAGTTGAATATTCATTAGGGGCTGATTGGGAGATTTTTAGAATCCAGAAATGTCAGTTATGCCAATTTTTAAAATCTTTTCTTTTCAGTTTAATGGATTCTTTATCCTAATGATATTGCCTAGCACATTAAGATGAAAACCTGCAGGGCAATAATTTGATTACACCTTTATTCCCAGAGCTTACAAAATTGAAACAGCCAAGTCATGATTGACTAATTTACTTGTTGCTGTTAACTACAAGGCTTTTCAGACAAGGCACAGGTGTATATGTATGTTTTTTGTATTAATATATGCTACATCAAAATAAATATAAATTGATTTTTGTAGCAGTAGAAATGAGTGCATTGGACGGGGATTATGGAGGTGCCGAGCTGCATACAATTCCACCTTGAAATCACCACAGTGCAAAGTCCAACTAAATTTTACACAGTTTACATGAAAGTCAAATAAGAGGTGTTTTATTTCAGGCTTTGATCATGATGGTTCAATGGGAATAAAACTCGTACACATTGAAATTTAAGCACTGTATTCATCTATGTTTTATCTCTAACCATGTCAAAATAGAAACTAAGATTTCAAAAAACGTACAAAACATTCCTCCATCACAAGACTGTGAACAGAAAAACGAGCGCCTGGAGTCACTGAAATAAAAAAATCCATCAGCTTTGCTGATCTGTACGGGTTTGCACGAAAAGAAAAAACTTCTACTTGGCAGGATTCTAGACACCAAACTGCAAATTACATGTCATATCTCGATCAATTATTCTTTAATCACATTCAGTGATTTCTATTCACAGGAACATACTTTTTGTCTGATTTATTTATACTGAAAGCTTAACCATCACTGCTTTCTCTATAGTTTCTGCTTTCTTCTTTGGCAATAATTATTCATGTATAAAATACCAGCATGCCATAATAAAACCATAATAAAACCAAATTCCATATATAAGTGACTAGCTCTTTGCTATTTTGTTAAAACCACAAACAAACAGAATCCCAGATTTTATAAGCATTCTTTTTTTTTTAGTCAAATCTGCTATTCAAAAGATTCACTCAAGTGGGAGACCCTGGTGACCAGATGTACCCAACAAAGCACTCATAGATCAAAATCCTATAAAATGTTGGCCATCCAGGGTCCTATAGAGAAGTTGCCATAAACCTCTGGTTACCACATGACACATCTACACTTCATTCTTTGTGTGCTGAAAATAGGCAAGTCTTCCAGAGTCAAAGAATCTTACAATTCATGGGAAGGAAACAGATTTGTTTTTTAGTCTATAAGAAGTTCTCATCAGACAGCGTTTTGCTTCATGAGACGGAAGAGCACTGTGACTGTCAGTGCTCACTACTTGCTTGTGTGTCTGACAGCTTCAGATTTACTTATGAGGTGAGGTCCTGGAAGCAGGGACATAGGTGAATTTTCCTCAGTATTGCCTCACAGTGTTCTGACAATACCCAGCAAGGACTTCAAAAGCTGTGAGCAGATTTCCACAGTCCCTGTTACCTACCTGACCACTACACAGGGCATTCCTTCAACACGTAATATCAAGACTTCACTTCATCTACATTTTTTCCAATTTGTGCTGAATTTCCTCAAACCCAAAAGTCCAGGATAGGGGGAACTCCAGCTCGTTCACTGTTGCAAGCACTGGCCATCACCTCAGCTGAATGAATGTAGCAAATCAATACAACAATAATTTAGAGCCTTTGAAAGCAAAGAGTATGGGTTTATCACCTTCTTGCAGTTTACAGGTGTACAAAATTGTCACTGTCAGACTTTATAACTGTAAGAGAGGGTGGCTATTGTCTGCCAAAACACAACTAGATATCACTCATACAGACGTATGTGAAAACTCGGAGACTCGCTCTTCTAAGAGTTCCTAATTGCACAACAAATCAATAAAGCTTGTCCACGTTTTACTGCGTTTAGAACTTTTCCACCTTAAACGACCCTATACAGACATGTTTAAACCTATTATACTTGTTAGTGCCTCTTAGAGGTGAAGACTAGCATCTGTTGCTATCCTCAGCTTTCAAAGGGCTCTTTGTAAAAGAGGACTTAGTGTCTCTTCAATTGTTTTCAACAGTCATTTACCATTGCAAATTGAAATCTTACCTGAATCAAAATGCAACCACTAAAGTAACCAAGAAGCAATCACTCAAGTAAAAAGTGAAAGAACGTACTATCCATCAATCTTCTCCACACTTAAAAAAAATGCATTCTGAAATGACACGTTCTCCCCAAGCAGTTCTTTGGTTTCATCTGCCTCTCTCTGGGGAACACCTGCCTGTCCTCTTTTCCTGCCATCCATGCTTTCATAAGAGCCACAAGATCGCGGAACAGAATCCACCAAAACAGGAGAATGGAAAGCCCGAGACTTACATTATTCATGTACTCGCTGAGCAGGTCCTGGAGCGCCTGCCGCACGGCATTGCACTCAGCAACGATCCTCTCACGCCTGTCGTCCCGTGTACAGGAGGAGTCGGCCATCAGGGCTGCACCGCTGATGATGCTCTCCAGCCGTTCCTCCAGGGATGGCCTGAACCTGGCCTCGCTGAATGTCATGGGGTCCAGGATAATCTTATTCTGAAAGTACCACACATACACACACAAAAAAAAATTAGCAGAGAAGAGAAGACTGCCTCTGTCCTATTTTCTAAACCAGAAACCTCTGCAGCCAGGACAACAGTCCCCAAGGAGGATAAACTGGTTACTCAGACAATTTCTAAAGTGACCTTGACAAAGTGTCAACTTTTTGTTAACATTTTGCCCTAAATCTAATCTTCAAGTTGAAAACAGCATATCTCGTTTGAAGACTCTGTTCTTGGCTAAGGCCATCTTGACCAAAGAGTTTTCAAATGAGTTTGTAACACTGGCTTGGCATATTGAAACGCGCAGTCATCAAGGAAAACACGTTTCAGTGCAGCACTTTGGGGGATTTAAGAAGCTTTTAGAGCTAAAACATGGTACACAATCAACAACTCCATTATGCATTAGCCGTGCCTTGTGTACACATCCCATCACCCTCATGATGGCTTATTACAGTGCTAATTCTAAAATGGGGGGTATTAAAGAAGTCTTTTAAAAAATTCAAAAATAGTAGAAAATCACTGCTTAAGTTGTTACAAAATAAGTCTAGGTTCGTGTTCTGAGAAAGTTTGCCCTAGCCCTCCAAAGCATCCTAGGGTATTTGCTGATGTTGTGTTTGGAGCATCTTAGGTTCCAATTCTCTGATTCCTGTTTAAATGCAACACTCCACAGCGACGAGATAGAACCTTTGGGCAGAAGGATGCTGAGATCTTGAGAAATGAGTGTGCGCAGGCTATGGTTAAGGAACAGGCACAGATTACACACAGACTTTCTAGAAAGTCACTAACTGGTCAAAGCCCCTTCTTCAGTTTAGAAAGCAGGTGCACAAAGTCTTGCAGACAGTAGGCAGCTACTCTGTTCTAGGCTTTGCCATGATGACCATTACATTTGTACTCCCTTATATCTTGGAAAGGGGATTTTATTTAACCCCAAATATGCTATTTGTGCTTTGTCCTTTGTGCCTTGGTATTGGGCATAACCATCCAGTGTCAACTAAATTATGTGGTGGCCTCAGGATAGTAGCTGATACGGCGACCTTCATCATAACTCGTGGGGTTCGAAGGGAAAGCTGAGAGAGAACACTAGTGTTGTGTCTGCAATGTTTTCCCAGTGGGAACCACTGGCATTCTCTCTTTCTCACACACACACTTCCTACTATGTTGCTGTTGATGCCTTTATGATGAATATTATTTTTACCATGTGCTATATACCAAGACATTAAGAATTGATATTCTAGTTAAAGAAACACCTGGTCAAAATATAATTAGGCTATCTCCCTTATAAAGAATATTGATTTTCAAAAACATATTTTATAGAAAACCATATTAACATAAAACATAACAAAAATTATTTGTTCTGCTTTAAGATTTCAGGAGATTCTCCAGACTCCTATATTGGCTTTAGGACAGATATTGATTATACTTTAGGACTAAACATATAAAGAAATGTCAATGTGGTGGGAAAACACAGAGGTAAATTTGAACTCTTCAATAAGGGCCACTGAAACACTTTCTTTGCAGCAAAGAGAAGAAGGCACTGCTGGCATTAGCAAACTATTTCCTAAGTTATTTTCTATGGAACACTTAGTTTAGAGATATAATGTTTTGATGAAAAATAGGGTTCCCTGGTCAAAATATGCTTTGGAAATATTGCATGGCCTTGAGCAAATTATCCCATTGAAATGCTTTGGAGAGTGCTGCATTAAAGAAGTCAGTTCACTGCAGCATTTCCCAAACCTATTCGAGCGTGGAAAGTGCCCCTTTTAAAATGCATGAATTATCTATGAAAGCGCAGGGAACACACTTTGGGAAATGCGAAAAGAGAGACTTTGGAGTGTCAGCCAATCGAGCTCCCTACCTGCCATGGCCTGGGGCTGTCGTGAAAGTAAAAACCTAAAACATTGAATGCGACAAACTCTGCATAAAAGTTACACCATCCATCACATTTCTAATAGAATTATTCATTATTTATAGATCACAGGGGGAGCACTTTTTAAAAAATCTCCCTGGAAAGAAACAATAAATTTGCAATATTCCAATCTATATCTGTGGTGCAGATGGGGAGCATTCCGATGATGGATGTGAAAGGCGAGCGGGAGAAGCCACCCACGGGAGAGAAAAGGCAGAAAGAGGCCAGTGCACACAGGCTGCGTGAGTCTGCGTGGGTACCCACATGTATGCATGGGAAGGGGGTCTGGATTGCATGTGTGTTTCTCTGAAAGGATGGGTACTGGCTGTGTGTGTGTGTGTGTGTGTGTGTGTGTGTGTGTGTATGGGACAGGTTATCTGTGTGTATCTACGTGTGTGTGTGTCTATGAGACTATGAGTGGGTACAGTTTTATGCATGGATAGAGAGGGATGTGTGTATGTATATGTGTGTGTGCATGTGTGCATATGTTTGGAAGGGCATATGGGTTATTTGTGTGTGTGTTTGTGTCTGCGTGTCTGTGTTTTCCAAGAACTGGCCAGATCTCCAACAGGCTTTAGAAAATTAGACAAGAATAAGGGAAAGTAGAAAAGAAGCAAGAAGTTCAACAGCTAAATTTAGGAGAAGGTTCTATCTACCGTTTCTAAAAATACTGGAAAACAAACCCCTCGAGCTGAGTCTTGAGCAAGAAATTGAGAATGAGAGCCAAGGTGGAGTGAGGGAGGAGTATTTGCTGCTGCGTTATTTGGTAGAGATTTAAAAAAGAAACACCGAGACAGTCTCCCTTAGACCTTTCAGATCAGCAAACAGTCGCTAAGCACAGAAGCTCAAAGCTGGTCCTCTCCCCACCCCCCACTCCCCATCCCCCAGGTTGTTGTGCAGTGGTGTGATCATAGCTCACTGCAGGATTAAACTTCTGGGCCCAAACGATACTCCCTTCTCAACCTCCTGAGTAGCTGGGACTACAGGTGCTCGCCACCACACCTGGCTTCTGTGGTTTCCCCCTCTCTCTTCGGTTTCATTTCTCCACACCAACTCAGCCTATCCTTGTCTCTCTGTGTTGCTGTCTTCTGCTGGTGGGCAGGATGGTGGCAGCATCCTCCAGGATCCAAACTCCCTCTCTGGGTTCCTGAGTTATATTTCAAGTGGATGACACGCCAGCCAGCACCCAACTGTGAAATAACAAGGATAAGGTATCCTGTCTCTCCCTTTAGGGCTAAAGCGTGCTCTTGTGAGAGGATAGTATGCTGTTTCCAACTGTAATGACTTATTTTAGGCCACTAAGATTTTGCATCTTAAATATCTGTCTCCTGTGTGCCTTCTGAAAGCTCATGTAATCTTTTTATCCTTTTGATCTTTTAATTCCATCTTACATTGACAATTTAAAATTGTGGGCCTGCATTTCTTACTTTATCTTCCTTGTTATATTTTAGCTTAGTTTAATTGATTTTTATCTTGTCTGTTGTCATTCTATTTATTTGACTTGGATAATATTTTGTTCTTTATGATTTTTTCTTATTTTCATTATCATATCTACTTTAAAAAATGTTTTCCTTCCTACAGTTTATGGAGTGGCTGTTGGAATGTATAGTCATAAAAACAGTAGCCACAGTATGAGGTCTGACAATGAAGTTCGCGAACTTGCCTTCACAGCACTGTACACACAACTTGGTACGGTTTCATAACTTTGGTATATCAGTGTCTAACAGCTGTGTTCATGTTGTTGTGTGGCAGTATCTCGCTGAATGTTGTTCATTATTGTTGTTGCATGTTTTTGCATGCCAGCATGAGAATGTCAGAGCTTGAATTAAAACAACAAACAAACATTAAATTTCTTGTTAAACTTGGCAATAAGTGGGGGCTCGGTGGCTCAGCCTGTAATCCCAGCACTTTGGGAGACCGAGGTGAGAAGATTGTCTGAGCCCGCAGGTTCAAGACCCACCCAGACAATTTGGCAGAACCTCGTCTCTACAGTAAATCAAAAATTAGCCAGGCATGGTAGCGCACACCTATAGTTCTGGCTACTTGGAAGGCTGAGGTGGAAGGATCACAGCAGCTCAGCGGGTCGAGGCTGCGGTGGCTGGAAGCATGCCACTGCCCTCCAGCCTGGGTGACAGAGTGAGATTCCAACTCGAAAAAAAAAAACTTGGCAATAGCGGAAGTGAAGTCAGGACATGTGAATCTGAGTTTAGGGGAATAATGCCATAAAGAAAACAGCAGTGTACAAATGGATTAAACATTTTTCTGAGAGGAGAGAAAGCATCACTGATGAACAGAGGTCAAAACAGCTAGTAACAAGCAGAGCTGATGAAAACATTGTGAAAATTTGTTGAATTGTGCATCCAAACTGTTGGCTGACTGTGAGAAACATAGCAGACCAAATGAACATTGACAGAGCAACAGTCAGGAAAATCTTAACTGAAAATTGTGGCATGAGCAAGGTGTGTGCAAAAAATGGTCCCAAAAGAGCTCTTGTATTCAACAATGCACCAGTTCACACAGCACTGTCTGTGAGAGAATTTTTAGTCAGTAAATAAATAATTGTATTGTAACCCTCCCTACTCACCTGATCTGGCTCCCAGTGACTTTTTTCCTTACCCAAAGATAAGGAAATACTTAAAGGAAGACATTTTGGTGACATTCGGGACATCAAGGGTAATACAATGACAGTGCTGACGGACATTCTAGAAAAAAGATTTCCAAAATTGCTTTGAAGGGTAGACAAGGTGCTGATATCAGTGCATAGTTTCCCAAGGAAAGTACTTTGAATGTAACAGTAGTGATATTCAGCAATGAGGTATGCCGTACTTTTCCCAGGATGAATTCGTGAACTTAATTGTCTGACAATTAAGTTCACGAATTCATCCTGGTAATTTATCCTCAAGCCTGGTAAATTACCAATTAAATTACCAATCCTGGTAATTTATCCTCAAGCCACAGAAGTGAGGATCCTATTCTGCCACTAAAACAGTACTATAACAATCTTTGTTGTCCCACATAATTGATCTCCCATTTTCTCTAATGTTGAACTTCATAAAACTTTGATCTGAAATAATTCAGAGGACCATGTA